CGTACGTAGTAGTAGGTAGGTAGGTAGGTAGGTAGGTAGGTAGGTAGGTAGTAGTAGTAGTAGTAGTAGTAGTACGTACGTACGTACGTACGTACGTACGTCGTACGTACGTACGTACGTACGTACGTACGTACGTACGTACGTACGTACGTACGTACGTACGTACGTACTACTACGTACGACGACACACACACACACACACACACACACACACACACACACACACACACACACACACACACACACACACACACACACACACACACACACACACACACACACACACACACACACACACACACACACACACACAGTTACCCTTCTGGCGTTTTGTCATACTAAAATGCTTCTTTTTGTAAGTTACGAGCTGTGAATATTACCTTTGCTTGTATTGGTTTGTTTTATTTTACAGCCAGAAGCACCAGAAGGAAGACACACAGGAGGATTATGGTAAACAACATACATTTATGTATCAATGTTGAACCTGATGATTAACTCAGGAATTCACCTGGGTTTTTTACCTTGAAAAGTGATTTCAATTCAACTTTTAAAGCTTGTGTATGTTACCCTGTGAAATAAATCTTCTATTGGGCTGAGATGGGTGCATTTTTTTTTTTTTTTAATTGAGCTTTTAAATTACTATCTTACTTCCACAATATGTGTGACGAGCAATTGTCGCCCCAAGTTGCAAACAAAGCACTTTGTGTTGTGCCATAAATACTCCTAGGGTGCTATAACTCCACTGTCTTTCAGGGGAGAATGAGCTCAACCTGTAGTCGTGATGTAAAAGGACAGCAACACATATAGTGTTAATATGGTTTATTTTTAGAATGTTTTTATTGACGGACAGATACAATCATACAGTTTTACACTACGGTGTGTTTCCTTCCTTTTTCCATTGTGTCCCCTTCAGAACTCCCCCCACCCCTAGCTTGAAAAACCATAAAGATACAAGTTTTAACCCATAATGACATTGATTCCATATAGGAAAAGAAAACAAAAATAAATGGGAAAACAAAATTGTGAAAATGTATTGAAAATAAATGTCATTAAGTAACAGTGCAACATAATGACTACAAACACTATAACAATACAAATACAGAGCCCCTAAAAGCTCCCGGTTCTCAAGCCAAATAGAGGTACAATTCGGAGACAAGCTTATAAAGATCCCACCCACCTGCCTCCTGAAAACCCAAACAGTGTTATACAGGTGCTGTGCTTCAAATCCTTCACAACTATAACTTTTGATGAGGTTCAAAGACAAAAGTTCAGGAGTCCTTTTTAGTTTGGGAAAAAAACAGGAAATACGAGCTAGGTTTCAATACGGTTTATTGTGTGTGTGCTGTCACTCTCCAAATGGAGTCATTGAAAGTGAGGTTATGAATGAGTAATGTCTGTCTCCCTGCAGGGGGAGGCGCCACACAGGGACGGATGAGAGGGGGAATGAGGGCTCAGCTATCCAGGAGAAGTCGTACGCTCCTCGCTTCCTGCAGATCCCTCCAGACCTCACTGTGGAGGAGGGGCGCTTCTGTAGGATCGACTTCAAGGTGAATCCCCCTCACATCAAGGGCTTCACATTTACACGTGTATTAAAGGTCTCCTATTATACTATTTTTAGGCATATATTATAGGTCTCAGATTTATGAAAATATATTAAAAACATGTCTATGAAGTGTTTTGCTCAAAATACCAAACAAATCATCCATTGTAGCATGCCTCATACCCTCTATTTCAGCCCTGTTACAAATGTGCTGATTCTGGGTCTGTAGCTTTAAATGTTGCTGAGCTGCTGCTGGCCACGCCCCTTTGGCGAATGCATGAACATTTGACACATTCTCAGCTAAACGCTACCCTGATTAGACGCCATATTATGTTCCAAACCACATTGTGCAGCTAAAATGCTTTTTCTCTCTTGCGGGCTTACCACAAGGTGAGTTACTTTTTTTATACGGCTTTTTTACACATACTCTCTCCAGTACAGCATTAGCTCTGAGTGTTAGCGATGCTTGCTAATTTGAAAATAAAGACCTATTACTCCCAAAACACGTCGTGCATTGTTTCTGAAAGCGACGTCTCTGATAGGGCCGTGGGCGTAAAGCCAGCCCACATTTTAGTTATGTCGTCGTGACTGCAGAAAATCTGGTCCAGCTCCGTTGTACCCCCGTTTTTAGAGATGTGGGTAAGGAGGAAAAGAGAGAGGGTTGTATTTTCTGACACTTTGTGTGTCTCCTTACACACCGGGACACACATTTATGTAAAAAGGCATCAAAAAGCGCATTTTGCATAATAGTTGACCTTTGAATACACTTATATTACAAGAACAGGGTCTCCCTAAATAATACGAGAATATGTTAGTGGTTTGGTCGTGTAGAGGGGAGTAAAAGGGGATTCTATCTTTCTCCCCCCAGGTGGGAGGCCTCCCTACTCCAGACGTGTGCTGGTACCTGGACGGTAAAGCCATTCGCCCGGACGACTACCACAAGATGTTGGTGTGTGAGAAAGGGATGCACTCCTTCATCATAGAGATCGTCACCGTGCACCACGCCGGGGTGTACGAGTGTGAGGCCAGGAACCGAGCGGGGGAGAGCAGATTCACCATGAGGCTCGATGTATTAGGTACTGCATGCCATTACAGAACTCCTGTGTGTTAAGCCTGTAAACGCTGTCTTTTTAAATACTGTCATCATGTGCTGTGCATCCTGCTCTCTGCAGCCCAGGAGGCTCTCCGCGCCCCCACCTTTGTCCAGAAGATGTTGAACTCCAGAGTTCTGGAGGGAGACACCGTGAGGTTAGAGTGCAAAGTGGATGCTTCCCCCCCTCCACAGCTCCACTGGAAGAAAGATAAAGACATGCTGCGGATCGACCCAAACAGAATGAGGTGGGTGTGATAAAGTGCTTCATTACACCCAAGCTCCTCTACATCCAACGTAATAGAGGATATTAAGAAGTACACCCTTAAAGGGGCCATATTTAGCTTTTGGGGGGTTTTCCCTTCCTGTCGTGTGTAAAGGGTCTGCAAAGGCTAAAATCCCTGTGTTCCCTCCAGAGGGAGTTTCTCTCCCACGCACTCCCCCCCTTGCCTCAAACACCTCTATTGGACTGCGTTATTAACTTCTGTTACATAGTGACATCACTATGTAACACTCGCACTTCTATTGGCCAGCGCTCCAACACATTGTACGTGCTGGGCTAATTTAAATGAAATGCACAATGAGGTTCAATATTGTCAGAATAAAGAGGTGTATCACCGGGTGAAGGTCTGATTCTTAATATCAGGTTACAACTATATTTGTCATAGAAGGTTGCACCAATGCACAGTTTATTCTGCGATGAATTCCGACTGGACACACTTTATTATAATTCTTTTGAATTGTGCTTGTGTCTTTTGAATGCTCAGCCTGCAACAGGGTGCTTTGGCCATCATGTGTTAATAACAGAGTTGAAATAAACATCTGATTGGCTGTCTTTGTTCCTCCAGTCTGTATGAGGACGGGTCGGGCCGGCAGTGCTTGTTGATAGAGAGGCTGATGAAGTCTGACGCCGGCTGGTACACCCTCTCTGCCATCAACGAAGCCGGCATGTCCACATGCAACGCCAGGCTGGACGTCGGCAGTAAGTCCTCCCTGCGTTCCTCTTTCTGTGCAAACTTGCTCCTAAAGGCCCATCTCAGCTGTCTGTTGTAGGAGATAGCCCGTGCGTTACCATAGTAGTCAGGGCTGTAAAACCAAACAGCAGATGGTGGATGTTGTGCGCTCTATGCTACACTGAATCCTGCTGTGCTGCCTGCATCACGTCACACAAATGCTGCGTTATGTGATCGAGCTGTAACTCGATGAATGTTTAAAGCAATCAAGCTGTTAAGCTTTCCTCAATAATACTGCGGAGTGCATAAGAGAGAGAAAATTACAACACAGATATTAGGTTTCTCCTCGATCACATAACACACCATCTGCTCTGTGGAGGAGCTGACAAAGGCTGTAAAGAAAACTACCTGACCCTCTTTTACACATGCGCTGGACTGTGTAGGGTGATGCGGGAATGAGTCCTTAAAGTTGGAAATTAGTTAACATTTAACCACTTCCAGTTCCCTTGTCTCAAAGTCAATGGTTTTTCCCGAAATAAGGTTTGTGGTTTAAAGAAGCTTACGAAATATATATGTTTTTGTCCTACGACATAGAATTTGTCAGTGAATATCCCACTGGGGAATGTCTGAAGCTTCTATGTGTCATGAAAAAGGGCGTTGAAAACATGAGCTGCCTTTAGCTTAGCAGTGGTGACGTGAAGTCATGTGACCCTCATGTAGTTTGTTTATTGCATCACAGTAGCTATTTCCTTCTAGGGATTGAATTTAGGCTACAAAAATGTAAAAATGTGTCTTAATATGTGGAGATTATCCTGCTGAAAGTTTGTTTACCACAGATCTTATTTCTGCAATATTTCAAAATCCACTGCTTTTTGTCGAGGGAGCCCATACAATGCTAACTTCCGGGATGGCCTACAACAATGCATCATCCCTGCACCACACAGAACATGGACTACTTGATCAGAACCAGGACTCAGACACTTTAGAGGAACAGGATTCATTGACAATGCAATGGTTTAGAAAACCTTAACGACCCATGACACGGTCTAATGTCGCACTTCAGCTTACATCTCTCTGTTGTTAAAACCGAACACAATAAAAAACAAGGTTGTGAAAAATCATTACACTTCCAAAATATATAGAATGGTCCTCAAGCATTCGTAGAAGAAGCAGCAATACCCAAGATGAATGAAAACAGTGTCAGTTTATTCTGTGGGTGTATTAGCACAGGTGACACACACTAGGTGACACATACACCCATACTAGTTCTCATTTAAACTCATACCAGTGGAATTGTTTCATATATTCTATGAAAATATTAACATACTTACGAGTGCAATTAGTACTCAAGCACGCACAAATAGATTTTATCGGTATTTATTTGTGTTTGTTTTCCTGTCTTCACTGTGTATTTAGTTGATGTCTGTGGAATGATAATGAAAGGCTTTCTAATAAGTTTTTCATACATTTCACAAGTATGTTATCGTTGGTATTGGAACAAATATCTGCATAGCTGTTTCTTTATGTAATTATACTTACTGTGCCTTGTTCTGTCTATATTTTGTGTGTTATATGATTTCTTTTTTTTTACATTTTGAATCTTGATGAAGGGTTAATTAATGACAGTTGATACTACAACTGATTGTTAGCTGACCACCATACACACAGGTCGAGACTGCATGACACTGATCAAACATTAATGAACTGTTTGTGAGTTAGAAAGCAGAAGGTTTAACATTGAGGGACACATTGTCTCTACATGTGAGTGAAAGTCCCCTCTCTGTCTCTGAGCCTCGTCCTGCTGTCCTGTGCTGTGGTGGCGGGGCAGAGGAGTTATTTTCAGACAGCAGGCATGAGAGGAATGTTTACCCACTCCTCCACCACTCTAATCTGGAACTGCTGTTTGAGACGCCAGCAGTTTGTACCTCAGTCAGTTACACATGGAGGGAGTTTCTTTACATTGAATACAGACATCTGCTTGGACAAGAGTGTAAAATGGTTAGAATTTGGTGGGAAAAGGTCTAAGGTGTCCTAATGTGTCCTCACATTTGTCTTGTATATAATGACGTTTTACGACAGACAATACTCTGACATTCTACACCAGGGTTTTCACCAATATCAGATATTTCCCACATTGCTTAAAGAAAGAAAACAGTGGGGTCGTCAGGGCTGACACATAGTAACAGATTTACTTTCACACTTAATGACCGCCGAAACTCAATGAACATAACTTTTATATCTTTATCTTGAACTTTTTATTTGACAAATCGTTGTATTGCGGGAAGAAACCGGAGTAAACCCTGACGTCGGCACAGGAAGCAGACAGGATGATCTCTCTAGAGATAAGGAGATCTTGTGGCCATCCTGCCTGCGCTGTGTTGACGTGGTCCAGACGACCCCTGGTCTTTCACAGATCTCAGGTGTCAAAAACCTTCGTCATCCATTTCAAGAGCCAAATTATCTTCAGTTCTCTCCTCCTCTTCAAAACAGACCTTTCAAATATATAGTCTTTAACAATCTCTGAATGAGGAAGTTTCACGTAAAAACGTTTTTTCTACATATAATACAATTATTTACTTCTAGTTTTTGTTATTTAAAGGGGACCTATCATGCAAAATGCACTTTTGTACGTTTTTTATACATGAATATGTGTCCCCGGTGTGTCAGGGAACTCACCAAGTGTCAGAAGCAGTGGCGAGCCGTGACTTTTATACCTAGGCCCTCTGACCCCCACCCCTTCCCTCAAGTTATTACGTCACAGCGTATACTTCAGCGGAATATCAAAACAACAGCCCGGGGTGCAAAACGCATCAATGAAAGCGACCCTCTACCACAGAAAACAACACCTGTAAATAACCCTATTTGTGTTCTTTGAAATTGAAAAGGATATTGCATTGTGTTTGTTACTTTCGTTGCGGTTGTATGCAGGGGTGCCGCCAGGGATTTTGGGCCCCGTGAAAAGATATCAAATTGGGCCCCCCCATCACCAGGCCCAGGCCACGCCAACCAAGCACAATTGCTAACCACACCTCCAGAACCCAACCCACTCATGTATGCTTTAAATAACTCCACCTGTACAGGCTTGCATCTATCTTGTAGTCCAATACTAACCGCACAATATTTACTGACACTGAGCTGTGAAAATATAACACTGTGCAGACGTGCAACATTCTGCTGCAGTAGAATTCACTATTTGATATAACACTAACATTCCTGACAAAGTAAATCATCAATAGTCCATCTTTTTATGGTGTACATGCCTAACCAATAAACATTTATCGAATTGGCCACATTCTCAACATGAATGCAATAAATCCCAAAAAATAAATAATAACTTAATATCACATGACTGTCTTAAATTAAAAATAAAGTGAACATTACCACGCCGGGCAACAAAAATCATTTATAAAATGCTATTACCACACAAAAAATAAACATAAGCGCCAGATTTTTCAGAAAACTTAACAGTATACCACTAGCCAACTACAATACATGCAGGTATTGGAGGAGGAAGGGAAAATGGGACAGACGAAATGGAAATGACAAAAGGCCTGATGGTGGTGCGCCAAATCAGAGCCTATCTGCCTTTTCTCAGTCTTTTTTTACAGCTTCCTCACTTTGTCTGTCTTTTTCCTCGAACTTTTGTCTTTCCCTTTTCTGTTAACAGCCCTTCTCTTGCTGTCCTGGAGCCTGTCATCCTCGCTCAATCTACACTTGGTGAACTAGCCACCCTGGCAGCTGTCACTGTCCTTTCATCCTTCTTCCTCCACTTCCACACACCTTCCTGAAAACAAAACTGAAGAGGGCCCCTGGCTCTGTAGAGTGTACATGACAATATGGATACCCATACGTATCTCTTTAATATTAGTATTAATATCATACCAAAATGTTGGTGATTAAGCATTTTATTTAACTATACAGGACCTTGATCACTCACGCTTCAAACCATCCTAAAATAGAACAAAACAGCTGTTTTTTTTGTCTTATATACCGATCAGTGGCTATGTTGGAAAATACTTGGTGTTTTGAAACATGTATCCACATTTAAAATTACGCCTCTTTGTTTAGCTTTTTGTTTTTGATATATATATGCTTGTTGTATTCAGTCTCCCCTTCCAGATATGTCTTAAGCTGGCATGTCATGGCTCACCACACATGCTCCGGCTCACCTCCTTCACGTTGGGAGAAAAGCTGTTCAGGTTCAGCTTATAGCAGTGGCGAGGCCAAGGATATTTTCAGCTCGGGGTGGGCATGGAATGAACCAGCCTGATCATCTTTTCGGGGTGGAATCGTCGCAATCACTATTAACCTGCAGCATGAACATTAAAATACAA